CTTATTTGTTTTTCAAAATTACTTCATCAATATCAAATATATTAAAAATTTTATACATTAAAATTTATTCCTCAATTCAATCAAATACTATTCTCTTTTTATTACAAACAAACATTTATTTATATTTAAAACATTTTATGAGTGTGATTAGTATCATGTTCTGCTTTATATTTAAAATCATTGCAGCAATTTTCCCTTCTATGTAATATTTTTTTTTACAAAACAATTGGAAATAAATATCAAATTAAGGCAGTTTACTATAGATTTTAGAATTAGATACTAGTTCACAACCGGGAACTGGTAGAGTAGTGGGTTTAACACTTGTAAAGCTTGAGTGATAGTGATACTGTGACTGTCAAGTTCTAGTGTAAATGATTTAATAATTATTAACCTGATCTAAAACTGAAATTGTCAGATATTGTGCCTAACTTTGAATTGCTCTGTTCTATCAAACAGCCACAAATATCCCATTAAAAGTTTTTCGAAATGTAAAACATAAGAACCAGTTTGTTCAAATTTTATTGCTTTTTTTACCTGTCATTAACGACTACATAGGGGGTTCGTCAAATTTTTTCGGACCTTTCTTTTGGTTCGCGAGGAAAAAAAGGTTGGGAAACACTGAAGTAGAACAAGAAAATTTTTATCTAAATTCAAACATTAACAAATTGTGGACCATACGAACTTTTATTAATGTTTGCAGATTGTAAAGTAAGTGATTTTTATTCCAAGATAACTTGTTTTTTGCTTGCAAAATTTATTAATAAAGATGTTGAAAACAAATGAACCTTCTTTAGATTAAAATAATAATTAAGATAAGGATTGAGCCTTGAGGGAACGTGACACAATACAGACATATTTTATCCACTTTTATCTTATATCTTATAGTACCTTACACCTAGTTGATACCTACGTATATAGTTTATGAGATACGATAAATTAGTTGCAGTAATATAATTAATTGTTCGTTTTCTAAGTTTACACGTTACTGCTTACATGTTAATTGAAGAACGCAGAGAAGTAGTCACCGCTAGTTTTTAATCCATACATCGAAGACGCAATCAACATCATTAAAGACAGTACAACAGAAGATTGGTATGCTTAGCTTTGCAGATGATATAGCTTCTAGAACAGATAGTTTTAAATAAAATGGAAGCGATATTGATAAATCAGTATTGTATGAAAATAAATAAAAGTAAAACAGAAATACTGCTATACAAGGGAAGAAAAAGTATGGAAAGAGCGAATTTAAAAATAAAAGACGAAAAAATAGAAGAAGTGGCTGAGTTTAGATATCTACGAAGTCAGATAAGTCAGGATGGAAGGAGTAATAGGGATATAAAGCGCAGGGTCGTGTCGCCTTTAATAAAAAGAAGTCACTTCTATGCTCGCGAACGGTTAATTTAGAAATTCGAAAATGGTTGTTAAAGGTGTATGTTTGGAGCACGGCGTTGTACGAATTCGAAACATGGACAGAGGGCGCGGCGGAAAAGAAAAGGTTAGAAGCGTTGTGGTGTTATAGTCGGATGATGAGGATATCGTGGGTAGAAAAGGTTAGAAATGAAGAGGTATTGGAAAGAATAGGAGAACAGAGGACTCTATGGAAGTCAATAAAAAATAGGCGAGATAAGTTGGTAGGACGCCTTCTCAGGCATGAAGGAGCTACTCAGAGACATTTTAGAAGTAGAAATAGAAGTTAAGAAGAGTAGAGGTAGAGCTACATTAAATTACTGTTAACAAATCGTTAAGGATATGGAATGTTCTAGTTGTAAGGAAATGAGAAGATTATCTCAGGATAGGAAGGAGTTGAGGTGCGTGTCGAACTAGTCTTAGGACTAACGACCTTATGATGACAAGGCATTCCCTCCCATCTCCCAATGCCACAATTTACATCACCCATGGTTTTCTTGTTGTTTATGTAGATTTTTCCGCATTGATCCAAGCTTATTCTAGTAATAATTTTGCTGTCTCTACTCTTTACAAGATAATTTATCTAAAACATCTTTCCCTTCATTTCTTACTTCATTACTAATATTATTTTATGATAATTCATACTTTAAAATATAACTTTTTGTTGCAGATAGGACAAAGGATTTCGCTGTTCCCAGAAAGCTACAGACCAAAGCTCGCGTCATCGGTTAGAGCAATCGACCAGTACAACAGCATAGTTACTGACGATTTCAACAACTATTCCTACGACAATATTTCATATGTACCCGAAAACGAAAATATCGACAACAAATCCGTGTATTCCACATACACGAACAGTTATTATAATACAAATAGTATCGGTCGAAATCTGAATATTACACCGTTTGATGGCATTTCTTCAAAGGGCACAACGTACGCCGCAAGCACCGATAATTTTTACGATTATGCGACAGTTCGGTCCAACTCTGTGGCTGGTACGAGTACCGTGGCGTCTGAAACTGATACGGAAAGGAGGGAAATTTTGGGATCATCTGCAGCCCTGCTAAACGGAAGGGGGGTGGTAAGTTCTCATACATTTTTTATTTATGTAACCACAATTGTTTGTTGTACAATAACATTCCGAAGGGGTGGGACAGAGAGTTCAAATGATCGGGGACTCGGGGGTTTTGTTAAATTAAATTGCGGCAATAAAAATGAAGACTGAGCAAGGGTTGGAAAAACTATCAGGGGAAGACTAGGTTGGAAGCGGTATTGACAGCAGAGTAAAGAGTGAGAATTAAAAATAAAAGTTACAAGAATTTGAGATGTATATAGAAAAGATTAAAAATGAGAAGGTATTACAAAGGGCAGGAGAACAGGAGGCGCTATGGAAGTTAATTGAAAATATTAGGATAAAGATATTAGGACTAGGATTAGATTATTAGAGACTTATTAAAAGCAGAAATAGTGAAAAGGAGTAAAGGAAGCTTTATATCCTAAACGAGGAATTTGAAGGAGTAACACTAGTGATTTGAAGGGTAACACCACTTAAAAATCTTAAAGTGCGTTTATTGGAATTAATTTGTGCAAATTTTCCTAAAAGACGTCATCTTTTTAAAAAGATGATGCCATCCTTTGATGATTGCATCTTGTGGTATCCTGATTCCGATTCAGGACTTTCGGTTGACACTCTTCTTCTCTTAAACGATTTTATATACTGATTTAGTTCAAATTTAGCTTAATATTCATGTACAGTAAGGGGCAGGTTTCGAAAAAATAATTTTTAAAAGCGGACATACCACAGAGGAATAATTACCAGAAAAAAAATTATCTAATTCTCAAGAACAGTCAATCACAAATTTACAAATTTGGCATTAAAATAACCATCTTAAGACTGACTATAATCCAAAAAAATTAAATCTTCATTCCGCCATACTACCGGGGAATAATCGGCAAAAATTATTTGAAGTTGGGAGGGAGATCAGTGTATAATATACAAAGGAATGATTAATAAAGTTTACGGTTACGTAGCAAGGACGTACAAGGCAGTGTTAGTTGAGAGCGAAAAGGATTTGGACGTCCTGTACTGTATGGCGAGATCATTACTATAAATAGAGATTTTATTTGTAACCCTGATTCCTAAGAAAAGAAAGCATCTTATCAGAATATCCCTTTATTGGGTTCCTAACTCGTCTCTAACCTGTAGGCGAAACGTAGAAGACATATTAAGTCAAGGCAAATTCCCCCGGGAATAGAACCCTAGAAAAATATGAAATGTAACTTATTTAAACAATAAGTTAAGGTAAGGTTGTCTTTTTGGCATTACATTGTTTTATGAGTTATAAGTAAAAACCATAGTACAAATTTAGATTCTGATTGACTTCTCCATTGTAGGTAAGTTGTAAAACAGAAATTTTCCAATTGCACGCTTATTGAAAAATGTCCATATTAATTGTCATTAGTAAACACAGTAGATCTGGGAATAACCTAAATGACTTTAAATTGTTGAATGTAAATTAAAATATACTGATAACATACACAAATCGTTTATAATTTTATCTTTTCGAATTAATCAGCTAGTTCCAGAAACTGTCTTAAATACTAAGTAGCATTTTAAATAATTTTCCGGGGATTTTCTTTCGAGGAGACGGCTGTCATAAACCTACCGGAGAAAGTAGCTGTTCCGTAATTTCGCCAACTCTCTAAAGAACGGTGTGGAAATTTCGTAATTTCCGTTGATATTTTGTTTTTAGAAAAGACCTTGGATGGGTATAGCAATTTAAGCTTCAGCAAATATTTTTAGCATATTTTTAATTTCTTATGTCTTTTCTTGTAAGTGATATGTCATTATCGATTTTTTTAAATGGCAATCTACATTTCTTTTCATTAATTTTGGTAGCACTTTTTATTCAGTTTTGTATCCTATAAAATATTCAACATGTTAGGCATATTTAACATTCAGAAAAACAGTTTTAAAGTTTGATTCATTGAGTACATTAGCAAAATTGATCTAGTAACCCATCGCCATAAAAAAATCTTTTATCATCATAAGGTCGTCAGTCCTAAGATTGGCTAGACACGCACCTCCACTCTTTTCTATCCTAAGCTAATCTTCGCATTTCCCTAAAACTAGAACATCCCACATACTTCACTATTTATGAACAGTAATCTAACCTAGATCTATCTCTACTCCTCTTAACTCCTATTTCTGCTTCTAATATATGTCTGACTAACCCTTAAGAAGGTGTCCTACCAACCTGTCTCGCCTATTTATTATTGATTTCCATAGAGCCCCCTGTTCTTCTATTCATTCTTATACCTCTTCATTTCTAACCTTCTCTATCCAACGGTATCCTCATCATTCGCCTGTAAAATCATGTTTCGAACGCTTCTAATTTTTCCTTTTCCGCTGCACCCACCGTCCATATTTAGCACCCGTACAACTCCGCGCCCCAGACACACCTTTAACAATCTTTTTCGAATTTCTAAATTAACCGTTCGCGAGCATAGAAGTGACCTCTTTTTATTAAAGGCGACTCGACCTTACGCTATCCTCTGCTTATATCTATACCGCTCCTTCCATCCTGACTTATCAGACTTCTTAGATACCGTAAAACCAGCTATTTCTTCTAATTTTTCGTCTCCTATCTTTATATTCGCTCTTTCCTTACTTTTTCTTTCCCTATATACCGATATTTTTGTTTTACTTTTGTTTATTTTCTAACAATTCGCGTACCTAGTGTTCCTGACAAACTTGTAGGTATGTAAGTGGTTCGTTCGTAACGGGAATCGAGTTTCGACGATTTTTCCCACTTTTTCCGAGTACGCTTTTTGAGTTTTCTCTCCAAAATCAGTCTTAAATAATTATAATTACAGTATTACAATTAAGAAATAACTTCAATTTTTTTCACTTTACTTATGCTGTAAGACATTTTGATTCTTCAACGTCATAACACGAAAAAATAGATATAAAAAACTAAAAATTATAGGTTGATAAAATTTTGCCAAAGTTTGAAGTCGCTATACCTACCCATTTGCGATCTTTTCCAAAAAAATATCTGATTTCATTCGTCAGATACTTAATTTCTACTACACTATAACAGCAAAACTTGTTTAAAACAGTATAAAATGTATGAATGGAGAAATTGCGTATGTTTGTACATTTTTCAGTTTTTAAATAAACACTTGCATATATTTACATGTTTTTAAATAGACGTAATGTTGATGTCTTTACAGTCATAATTACATAATTGTCGTTTTTTCAACACATTATTTTTTAAATAAACATTCCTTTTGCGTAATAAAAGTAGTGGTACAATACTTACATTTTTAAACGGTACTTTCGCATTTACTTTTTGCAACAACATTAGTCAATTTTACTTTACAAGAATATTAAACATGTTTTCATTTCTTGGGGCTTGTAATGTTAGTTAAAAATACATCCTTGCACGTAGGTACATGCGGGCACCTCACCTAGATCGTAACAGCTTTTATTGAAGTCAAGGTAAATACAATTTACAGAATGTATAAATACTGCATCTGAATGTAATAAGGAATTTGTTGTTGTTTTTTGTGGTTCACATTGCTGTAAAATGCTTTGATTGCTTAGGATCATAAAGTTGTAGTAAGAATAGACAACACGAACGAAGGGAGTGAGCGTGAGCGCAAGGCCGGGGCGATCTTCTTAATCAGCTGGCTGAACGGTGTAACATACTGAAATATCAACGAAATCGGAGGTATATATACTGATCGAGACCTTTGCCTTTTTCTAGGGTTCCATACGTCAGAGTGAAAAACAAAACGGAACCCTAAATTACTTAAAACGCTGATGTAGGTACGCGTCAACTCCCTTACTAAACACTGTATAATGATTCTCGTTTCGTATTCCCCACCACAAGCTAAAAAATTCATCAACTATGCATAATCTGACCAATAAATACGCGAAATGGGCTTCTAGAGTTGGATTAAGGTAATGCTGTATGACCACGCACAAAGAAGGGAGTTTCACTGTAGCGTCAGTGACCATTAGAACGTTAGGAAAAAATTCTCTAACTGAAGGAGGAATTTCTTTTCGCGGTGCTACTTTTATTCTTATCGACTAATGGCAATGGACATTCAACATCCAATTCTTGATGAAAATGAATGAAACATTAAGGGTTGTTTACACAAATGGGCGCTAAAAAAACAGTCTTTATCAAGCGGATGAAGCATTTCGGCAAAGGTCGCGAACACTTCAAAGTTGATGGTGCAGTTTCTGATAGCCAATTTACTATCTGGATGTTTGTTGAAGAATTGAATTGGGAAATAGTGTGCACTTAGAATTCTATCTGATGTTAAGAGATTGTTGCAATATTACGACAATGCACTTTTCCGACTACGCATTCGGCATTAACTGTCGATTGCCAGAGTTTCTGACTCATAATTCGATCACATTCAGGCTACTCACTGGACTTCCCCCCCATTATTTTTTTCCGCTTCCTAAATTGAAAATAGTTTTACTGGAGCAGCATAGAGAAAATGTAAGACGCTAGAATGTGGAACGACAAAGCAGCTTGACTTTCGTGGAAACGGAGATGGAACAAGACATTGACTGGCATATATTTGGTTATCCATTCGGATCGTCTTTGATGTTTGTTGTACTTTGTACAAGTTTAAAAAAAAAATTTAAAAATGGCCACAACTCGTGGATAATCTTCATCCCTCACCATTGTTAACTTTTTACTGTTGCAATTGAAGCGTTCTTGTTGTATTATT